GGGTATTTACCACATGGCAGCTGGAGCTAAAATCCAGGCTTGTCGCTCCTCTGCTCCGAACCCTCCCAGAGCTCCCCATCTCAGAGAAGAGGCCAAGGCTTTACGGTGGTCCACAGGTCCCACCCAGTCTGCACACCTCCCCCCGCCCCTTGCTCTAGGCTCCAGCCACAGGGCCCTCCTTGCTGGCCCTCAGACCACCCAAGCTCCCTCCCCAGAGCCCCTGCCCCACTGTCCCTCTGCCACACCCAGATCGTCACACACTCATTTCTGTCAGCTCTTCAAGCAAGTGCCCCTTTTTCAGTGAGACTTCTGGCAGCCGCCCTAGATAACTCTGGTTGGTTTCCCCTACAAGAAAGGAGGCAGAGGTTTTCATCTCTTTTGATCATTACCTTCCTCGCTGCCTCAAACTCTGGTTCTCAAACTTGAGTCTGCATTGGAGTCATTTTGAGGACTTTCAGTACTCAGATGACCGGGCCCTGCCTTCCGAGTTTCCTCTTCAGTTGGCCGGGGATGAAGTTCCAGGTGGTGCTCCTGCTGCTGGCTGGGGCGCCACACTCTGAGAAGCCCTTACCTAGAACGGTTCCTGCCTGGAGCAGGCATCCAGGGAGCATGGCCTGCGTGAATAAATGAGGGAGTGCATGCACGAGGTGTGCCCGTGAGCGGGGACAAGGATGGTGGGCCCTGTGCACTGACCACTGTCACCGTGGGGCCTCCAGGGACCAGGATTCAGGGACATGGATGAGGTGACAGTAGATCACATGCCCTGGATCTGTGCCTAACCCTTCCTTTGTTTCTCCAGAGTACGCCGAGAACATCGGGGACGGCCGGAGCCCAGAGTTCCGGGAGAACGAGCAGAAACGCATCCTGGGCCTCCTGGAGAACTTCTAGAGGCCCCTCAGCCGAGCGCCAGGCCTCACTCAGGCCTTCCTCCCGGAGACAGATGTTTACACGGCTCAGTGTGGCTTTTGGACAAATTAAAGCTAGGTTTGGTACCCTGGGCTGGCGTTCTTTGTAGCACAGCATTTCCACCTCAGCTGTATGAGCCCCAGCTCAGGACACACATGACAAAGGTCAGTGGGGTGGCCTCACTTGCCAGTGAGGAAGCTGAGGCTCGGAGAACATATCCTTGATAAGATAACCGCTGTGGCTACTCTGGGTTCTGCCTAAATCCTGGGAGGGGTTGGGGTGGACTCACAGCCTCCCTGGGGATGCCAGCCCTGACTCACAGGCTGGATATGTAACAAGAGGTGCATATCAGACTCACTCTGGAAAGAGGGTGGTACGTTAGAAATATTTTGGTGTTGAGCTCCACCCCAGCATCATCAGACCCTCAGGGGCACCCGGCCCTGGTGTGCTTTGAGCATCCCAGGTGACCCCAAGTGTGCATCAGGGCAAGAGCCACGCTTTAGAATTGACGGACTTAGATCCACATCCCAGCTGTGACTTCACCACTCTGATTCCCACTCACTCCCTCTGCAAGTCGAGGCTGATTCCCACTTGGTGCTTTTGAGGGTGACATCAGCTAAGTGCTTGCACATGCAGCACAGTGACACCCCCACAGGAGTGTGTTATACACTGCACTGTCTATATCGTGTCCTTCCTACACAAACTGGTGGCTTCAGGACTGGTTTCAGTCATGTTTTATGGGTTGTAAGGAAGTTGATCTCCTTTTGTGAGGTTAGCACTGTTTTAATCCATCCTCAAATAATACCGTCCTCATGGGTAGGGAGCAAGAAGAGCAACCAATTTGAAAAGCGGCGTTTCATTAAATGAAATGGGTCAGCAAAGAGCCTGCAAGGAGCACCTCTCTCCACCCCCCCAGCACAGGGCTGTGCAGACCCAGCTCCAGGGGAGAGGCAGCAGCCAGGAGAGGCAACTCTGAGCAAGATGGCATTGTTTTGGATGCAACCTGCACCAATACTGGGCTGGCATAGAGCAGTGAGTAAGTCAGGCGTGGCCCCTGCCTGTCCGGTGTGCACATCCAGTCTGGTGGGGAAGACAGGCAGCATGCCAGTTGTCACCACGAAGCAAGTGCTTAGAATGGCTGTCAGGGCCTCTGATACTCAGGGTGGCGCACACTCACCTTTTGGATTTAGGTCATTTGGACTTCACTTTTCTATGACTGTAATACTGCACATTGAACATACTATGTGCTGCTTGATTTACTTTGCTGCTTTCTAATCTGCACAATAGCCCTGGGGCTTTGTTATCGCCAATTTACCGAAGCCAAGACTGAAGACTCAGAGAGGACAAGTAACTTGTACGAAGTCTTACAGCCAATAAGTGGCCGAGGCTGTGTTCCAGTTGAGGTCTGTCTGACTCCACAGTCGATGCTTTCCACCACCACCACCACCCTTCATCCAGAGCTGCGTCTAGAAGACAATCGCAGATCACTGACTGACATCATGCTTTCAGTCTGTTCCACTGTCAACACGCGCTGTCATGAATTCACAAAGAATGGAACATGTCCAGATGTAACCTGTAGAATCATAGTCTTTGTGATTTAAGATTGGTACTTTAGAGGCCATTAGCCCTTCAGCTTTATGTTCTTCAGGGCCTAAGGCATTTGACTGCTAACCAGAAGGTTGACAGTTAAACCAACCAGCCACTCCATGGAAGGAACACTGGGCAATCTACTTCCATAAAGATTTACTGCCTCAGAAACCTAAAGGGGGTTTCTGTGAGTCAGAATTGACTCAATGGCAATGAGTTTGGTTTTTGAGCTAGTACTTGGACATGGTACAAAAGTTCAAAATTTAACACAAGGGCGTACAATGAAGAGTCCTCCTTCCTGTCCCCTGGGCCTCCCTGTCCCTGGAGGCCACCGTCACCTGATTATCTTTCCAGAGGCGTTCTGTCCAGTTTTCCAGGGACATTTTCCAGAAACCAGTATCACTTCAGAAGCCAGTGCAGGAGAAGAGGGAGATGTGGCCCCAGGCCACACACACGCCTTCACCCAGTGCCCTCCTCCTGCCGTCGCAGCTCCACAGGGCTCTGCTTCATGTATCATGTAGTCAGGCACCACCTGAAAAAAAAAAGGCTTTTTTTTTTGACCCATAAGTTCTGCTGAAAGCAAGTTTGACCTCTCCCCTTCATCTTACCCATAAAGAAATGGTCTCCTTTTCCCATTGGTGGTGTGGCATGAGGGTTGGCAAGTACACAAGTCCTAGGATTCATAGGGCTGCACAGTTCCAGGGGGTGGGAGACCAAGGAGACAGGGTGAGGAGAAAGCTTCAAGCCACCGCAGAAGACTGAAAAGCTTTTGAAAATACAAGGTCAAGATCCTCTTTGCTAACCATTCTGGTGGCATAGTGGATAAGGCATTTGGCTACTCACTGGAAAGTCAGCAGTTCAAACCCACCACCTGCTCCATGAAAGGAAGATGGGACGATCTACTTCCATAAAGATTTACAGCCTCAGAAACCCAGTGGGGTCACTATGAGTCAGAATCAACTTGAAGGCAGTGAACTTGTTTTGTTTTGAGTTTTTTGTTTGTTTGTTTTTTGCCCTGGGTCCACATTCTACCATGTGGTCTTAGCTCTTGAGTCTGCCTGCTCATGACTAACCAAGAAGCTGTCTTGCTCTCAAAGCAGCCCCACTGCCGTGATGACTTGTTGGGCTTCCAGTAAAGGCCACCCTTGTCCTGTAGTACTGCCTCTACTTCCATGCCCCTCCACTCACAAGCTCTCCTTTTCCAGCAAAGCCCCCAGTGTCCACCCTGGGTCTACAGCTGAGTGAACCCAGAGCTCAGCATCCCGAGGGCCAGTATCCCTTTCCCTGTCCAGACTTGGCAGCGAAATAGTCTTTAAGCAATAGTAGCCAGCTAGTACTTCACCAGCCAAATGAGGGTTTCACTCTCCCCTTCCTTCACAGCTTGTTACTCAGCTCTCGGTGGTCGACGCGCCTCAATCCTGCGGTAGCAAGATGGGCCGTGTCTCATTTAGAGAAATTTGCATGCAGGCTGCGTTCCTCGTCTATCTGGGGGGAGACGCATTGCCGGGGAAGCTTGGAGGCATCCTTCAGTCACCCCCACAGAACACCAGTGCCCAGGTGGCATCTGCCATTACCGAGAGTGTCAATTTAGTGTCAACAGGGAGACGAGACTCGATTTCCTAAAGGCAGAAACTTCTTGATTAGATTTTCTTACCCAACAGTAGAGGTAAGAGCAGACCCACATTTTTCAATCTGTCTAGCTCGCTAGTACACATAGAAAGTGGTTGGTATCACAGCAGTGGGCCTTCGTTATCTGTGCCGGGGAAAATGGCAAGTGTTCTTCCAATCACCTTTGCCTTGATTAGGTAACACATGCCCTTGGTGTAACTTCAGAAGGTGCATAAAGGTACACAAAGCAGAAATCTCCCTGCCAGATGCATCTCCTGGCCACCAGCTCCCCTCCCCACAAGTAATTAGCTGAAGTGCCCTTTCAAATGTAGTCTCTATGTTTTCCAGTGAATAAACTAGTTTTTTAACACAGATGGCGGCAGATCGCGATCTTTTTCCTGCACCTTGCTCCCAGTGCACCCAGCAAACGGGGTTGCCTCAGCCCCTCTTAATAGCTGAGCTCTGTCGCAGGGCTGTACCATCATTTGGTTAATTGTGCTAATGGACATTCAGGTTGTTTCCAATCTTTGCCTGTTACAATGCTGCAGTGAACATCCTTCTATAGAGCGTCATTTCACACATGTGTGAGTTTAAATTCCAACTGGAATCGCAAAGTCAAAGAACGTGCATTTTTCGTGGTGGTGTATGTTGCCAAATTGTCCTCCTCCCATCAGCAGTGCCTGCGTTGTCATCTCCCCACACCCCTCACCAGTGCAGTGTTCTCAGGCTTTGATCTGTCCTCTCTGATAGGTGAACAGTGAATGCTGTTTGTTGTTTTAATTTGCATTTCTCTTAGGAGTGAGGTCCTTGAGTGTTGTAGGAGAATGATTTATTGAGTGTGCGCCATAACAGCTAATACTCATTGAGTGCCTTCTGTGGACTAAGTGCTCTACTCAGATGAGCTCATTTAACCCTCGTTCCTGAAGTGGAGGTACTTTTGTCATCAACCCCATTTCACAGATGAGGAGACCAGATTGAGAAGGTCAGTGACTTACAGAGTGACAGCCGGGAGTGGGGCAGGCAGCCTGGCTCCAGGGCCCCCACGCCTCACCTCGAGGCCACGCTTTCCCCACTGGTTGAAGGGGGTGTGAGGTGAGGCTGCGGAGACCCCCAGTCAGTACAGAGCACACTGGAAGCAAATGCCTTCAGCAGAATTGTGCAGCAGGCCCCGGAGGGAGGAGCAGCCACCCGTCGGACACCCGCAGGGGCTCTGCAGGGACCACCAGCCCCCTTCCTGTGGCTCACAGCCACCTCTGGTTGACCAGCTGCAGGACTCACCTGCGTGGAGGTGCTGGGAGCCAGGTTTCCTGCCAGGATGGGCAGTGCCGTGGATTGGCCCTGGCTGCTCCCTCTGAGAAGGGTTTTGGAAGTCAGCGAAACACCTGGAGTGTTAGGCATTCCATCTGCAACCACAAGAAAGAGCGCCACCATCAAGCATGACTGTGGTGAGGGCC